CCGTAATACTTTGTCCTTTCAAGAATATGAAACTTCTGTCATCAAGAAAATGCATTTAGACAGATTTCTCTCAATATTAAATAGCTCATCTCCCTCAGACTGAGCAGAATTGTTCATTAAGTTGAGCATTTTACGGATTTCTTCAATATGCACTTTCTTTTTGAGGGCTGCTCCCAGGGAAAGGGGCTGGTTTATGGGAACTTGGCATCACCGAGCTACAAACGATCACGTCCTGGAGAAGCATCACCCCTGCTCTTTGTGAATACGCTCTACTGTCAAAGTAACACTTCTACTTCTATTATTTGCAGGTGTTTACAAATAAAATCCAAGGAACTTTCAATTTCATGGGAACCTGAAGAATCTAATTTCAAACACAGCATAATAAGCAAGATTTCAGCTAGGTGAAAATTCAGTTTAAAAAATAAAAGTAATGGGAGATTTTTAGAAGACCTGACCGCTTGTATATATTTAGCTATGCTTATAGTTCTTTAAATTTTCACTTGTTATAAGCTGCAGTACCTATAAATCAGACCATTTATGACGCTGAGAAAGAACAGGGAATAAACGGCATTGGAAAAATATGAAATTCAATCAACACAAGGTTTCTCTAAAAATTAAGAGGAAAAAAAAATTCCTGCCTCTTAAAATTTACTTCCAAATGTATGGAAGTTTGGATAATCTTCCATACATGCCATTTCAGTTAGAAATTCTTAGGAAAACATCCCTTTATGCAAAAGTTTCAAGTTAAAATGGGCTTTTTATTTAAACTTGAAACTCCACCAGCGTTATCGCTGCTACTGGGAGACATGAGGAAATTCTCTGACTGCTGAAAACAGTATGTACAGCAGACCTAGACTTTTCTTTTTCTTTTTTAAGTACCGTAACTTGGTTTCGGGATCTTTAGACAGCAGTTGGAATCTCTATTTAAATGGAGATAAGCACCCATGTTTGTACTTTCACATCAAACACACGTGGAAACACAAGGCCACTGTTGTGACTAGAAAAATTAACCTTTTAATTCCATTAAAAATAATTGAATGGACTTGGTGAACCACTCCCCCAGGCTGTTGCACAGTCTCAGTGGCACCACACAGACTTCAGGCTCCACTCAAAAAAAACATTATAAATTACTAGACTTAAAACCCCAAAATCCCAAACAAAAACCCCATCAAAAAAAACCCAAACTCAAAACTCTCCTCAGTTTTGATATTGCTGCAAAACATTTTGACAGATGTTCTATAAAACTCTGATTATTCCAGAAGCGTCTATAGATAAAACTAAAAACTACATCTTGCAGGTAGGTTTTGGTATTGGCTGCATCTTCTCTTCATCAGCATTAACATGTCAGTTTTAAATGCCGACAGCATAGTTATTAAAATTTATGAAGCAGGCATTGATGTTTTTATCATTTTAAAACCTTAAAAATAAAGTTTTCCCTGAAGGAAAAAAAAAAATAAATTAATGATTCCAGGTGATAAGACACAGCAGAGGGCATTCTGCTATGCGCCACAATGCAAACGGATGGCTCTAATCGACAGCTTTTCAGCTCTTCACAAAATAAACCGCGCAGGTTAACAACGTCTGATGCGGTACCTCAAATACAGACTTTCTTAGGCAAAGAAGCCAAATCTAGAACCAGTAAACCCCGGCATTTTCAAACAGCCTCCTTAGGCAACCACCGCTAATAACACCCGTGAACTAACCAGGGCTGGCGGGGGGCGCAGCCGGTGCCGCGGGGACTCACCCGTCCAATCGCACGTCGGGCAAACTTCGGTTCAGGGCAATCAAGTCACTGGCCATCAGGTTAAATTGGTTGATTTTAAACAGCTCTTTCATCTTCTCCTGGTCATCCTTCGGAATGAGCACAGCCTTCCCCATCTCTCCGGGGCCTTCTTGGTTTCGGGAAATAACAGCTGAAGACAGGAAAGCAAAAGGCAACGTTTAGTAGCTGGGCGGCGGTTTTCCTCCTCACCTATGGGTAGTTTTTGGTGTTCAACAAGGAACATTAAAGAAATAAAATAACACTACAGCACTCTGTGCTCCACTGTGAGGTTTTATCCCCATCCGGACCTGAATTTATATCTAGTTCCTTTCCATGATGATAAAAAAACCCAGATTTGGTCACCTGCAGCTCTTGGCTGTAATCACTATGACAGTAAATTACTATTCTCGAGGTTTACACCAGGATTACAGCACACAGCACCAGATTCTCCATGAGATTCTCCAGACAGAAAAGGTTTGGAAAAGACTCTTATAGCTGTAGAAAAATATTTGAAGAACATGTATATTAAACTAATTCTAACCAACTTTTATTTATTTATTTATTTAAATTTATTTAGTTTTCACTACCAGGTGTGTTACAGCATAATCCCATCCCTCTAAGTAAATCTTCAGTGTCAAAAAAAAAAAAAAAATCCATCCTGGAAAATGCATCCTACCCCTGACAGAGTGTCTTTCACAAATTATTAGAGCTTAGTTTTGAGAAATCTCTGTACAGTCAGTTTTTAATTTTAAGGAAAAGTAGAGTATCATACAAGCACACAAAAATAAACAAGATACAGACTGCCTTTTTAGGAAACAGTATATGAAAAGAAACATCCCACTTATACCAATAATTATGATCATTATTCTGAAGAAAAAGCTTGAGACAAAGGGTGATAAAGCCAAGTTTCCTTCTCCAACCTCAACGGGCAGCTGAGACCAGTTTCCCTCCCAAGTACTTATTACCTCAATCAACCAACAGAACAAGCAACACACGAATTTTGAACTAATTTTACATTCACACTTTAAAGCAGCCTCTTGACTGAGGCTGATTAATTAATACTGATTAATCTGTCTTCAGTGATGACTGTTAGTTGCTCCTCCCACGAACCAGTGGAAGTGTGAGAGGCAGCTGGGAGGGACCGGCCTGGGCAGTCACTGATGCTCTCGGTGACCTTCAAGCTGCAAACTTCTGTGCCATATTCCAGCATTACCATTTTATCTTAATGAAGGGATCTTGGTTTTATTTTTCTGCTGTCGCATTCCCTTTTCATCTTTAGTATCAAAATGACTTTGAAAAATTCGATGCTTAATATCCTGGGAGACTGTCACTTATGAAGGCTTCTCTACTAGCTGAAGTCAAGCATTTATTTTTGCAACCAAGAAAGTACTAGAAGAATAAATCTTTTTCTACAAAATGCACAGAAATAGACTAAGTGACTTTTTAAGGAAAGATCTATCATTCTTCCAAGCAAATCAGACATCAGGGCTTGGTAGAACAGCCTAGCAGAAATTTACATTAAAAGGCCTTTCAAAAATAAATATTACAGGCTCTGGGCACAAAACTTTTGCTTCTGCAGTTCTAGTTTATGCTTCAGTTGAGCAAGAACGCTTTACAGTATTATTTGATATATTTTTCTATCCTTCCCTTTGATCAGAAGTAGCACCTTTATGAGCTGCCAACAGGAAGACCTGACTAGCTTGCGTTGTGATTACACGCGAAGATGAAACCGCTCTCGGACAGGCGCCTCAATCTTAAAACACGGCGACTCTGAAGCTCTCAGCGTCTGATGTGACCTCCTTGGGCTGCCAGGCTCAGGGGTTCACCTCTGGGGGGGTCGGCAGCATCCCCCCGGGACCTGGGGTGCCAGCACCAGCCCTAAAGCCAGGTTTGAGGTGCTCTTAGATACCTTATCTTACGTCTGAGCAGAGCTGCTGCCTCCTCTCACCTGGCCACGCTGCCACGTGTGTTCCTCAAGGGGCAGAAATTTTATCTTAAGAGAATCCATCTCGCAGTCCGAGCCGTTTAGAGTTATCACTGGAAAGAAGCAGGCAGCTTTGAGCTGCCTCTCAGCGCAAGGCTGCGCCTCCCCGCCGCTACGCCTCGCCCACAGAGCCGCCTGACAACCCGCGCTGCACACGTACACGCACAATTATACAGTATATATGCTATTAAATTCCTCTCAGACCATTTCATAAGGTATATTTATGTAATGCATGAAATATTTGGGAGTAATAGCTGGTAATTAAACTCCGTTATATCATCACTTTCTGGAGAAACGATGAGACTCCTCCGAGACTGTAATTTGAAGAGCTAGTTCCTCAAGCTGCAGATGTTGTTTATGGAAATAAATTCTGCCTCCTTTTTGCTGGAAGAGGCAGAGGGCACAAATTTATCTAAACAGCAGCAGGAAACAGGTGAAAAGAGTCAGCCTGGCTTCTGAAACCATGGAAAAACAGGTAGGCAGCACAGCAGGGAGCTTGGCCAATGTCTTTCTTCCCAAGAAACACAACAGAGATGTAAAGGAAGGAATTACTTTAAAAAGGGATGAATGAAGAGAATAAGGAGCACTGAAAGGGAGAGGGAAGTTTGTCCTTGAGGTATCCTTCAGTCTGATCATCTTTTGGAAGAGGAATTCTTTGTTCTTCTGCCTCCAAAGCTGTATTTAAGGGCCCGCGTTAGCTCCAAGGACTTTACAGACGCCACCCAGAAGACCAGAGCCACTCTCCACAATCAGCATGTGCATCACCTGCCCGCCCGGGCAGGGAGAGGGGCCGGGACACGGAGAGAAGGGACAGCACTCACACCAGGAAAGGAGAGGAGACATCGCTGGGCTTCTCCTGCCGGAACCTGCCACACAGCAGGAAAGTGGAGGAGCACCACGAGGCACCCAAACAAAACCCCTCGAAACAGTAAGGCAGCATGCCAAAATAGTTTTTATTTTCTGCTGAAATATAATTTCAGGGTTGGCTAAAAATATCTTACTGACAATTTGCTCCTGTAGAACTCGGAAACTTTTCACTAAAACAAATTATTTAGAGGAGAAAAAAAAAAAAATCCATTGTTAGCTCAGTCATTATTACAACAGTAATTTTGCGTACCTCCCCGAAACGTGGAGAACACCAACAGTGAAGGGTTTCATACTCTAAGCTCAAATACCAGGCAGACAGCTGCAGAGGATGTTACGCTCTCGCATAAACTCACTGTAAATTCATTAGAAATCCCAGCTCATTTGCAGTGTACCGTCACAAGGACTTGGATTAAATTCAGCCTGAAAACTTGTTTATTCTGCTTGAAAGCATGAGTTATATATTCCTTCATCTGCAAAACTAATTTTCATTACAAGATTCTGTGTTCTTCTATTGTTTACTAAGGTCCATCAAGATAGAACTTCAAAGAGATTTTCCTGTCCTGAAGTTTATTACAGAACTAATCAGATTTCCTGAACAGCCTTTCCACTCTCACAGTTTTATTCAAAGCAAAGCATTATCAGATTACACTTCAATCACAGCTTACACATATCTGTGACGGAGTAACAGATTTAATTCCGCTGTGGTTAAAATGTGGCAACCTCGACTTATTAAATCTTTAGAGAAGACACAGTTTATGAATTAACAACCACATATACACTAAGATTTTCAGAGGCGTAACCTGAATCCCTACCTGGGACCATCACCTTCTTGCATTTTCTCTCCTGTATTTGAATAAAGAAGTTTTAAGCCCAGAGCCTCTGTAAGAAAAAGCCCTCAACTGCCTCAAACCCAGCGGGAGTGAAGCACACAACAATCCGACCACATTCAAGTTAGCAAAAACAACACTTTCCATTTTTCCAAACAATACATAAAATCTAAGAACAAAGTAAGCATCACAATACCAGAGATGGCAGGAATAACTAGCAAATTAATATCTTGTGCAAACACTCAATTTGACCAAACTTTTCACAGAAAACTGAAGTTTTGCTACCACTGAATAGATGTGAGAATCTAAAGGTGGGGTCAAAAGTTTTCTAACACCAGGTATGTCAAACTTTCCCTTCTAAATGCACAAAGCCACTATAAATATTTCTACTGAACAATCTGTTATTTATCCAAAGCAAACAAAACAATTTTACCGTTTTTCCAAATATTGATATTGTCATTTCACCGCATTTTTATGTTCTGCTTTACCCTCTTTTTAGGAATTACAACATCCTTCATCAGTACAGTGTCTTTCAAATCAAACTGTTCAAAATATTTTGTGAAATACCAAATTTGTGTTCAAGTTTCCATACCAAAATCTTTATGTAAAACATATACACGCACACACTCTTCAATCAGAGAACATGAATATAACACAGAATCCCTTCGTCTAGAGCATAAAAGAAAAAATAAAACTTGTTTCTTAAGTATTCAGAATGTATGAATGGTAAAAGAGGTGACAATCAGTGAATGCACGCTACTGATTATGGATCACTCCACCTGTACGGGTGTTTATAAGCTAAAATGAGCACAGCAAGCAATTTCCTTACATCTTTAAAAATATCACTTAGAATTTACTGTCGAAACCACTTCTTCTACACAGCTTTCATACTTCTCTTTGATAGCATGGCGATGATCACCGACTCCAAATGACTCTGCAGCGGGGATGGAAAGATGGGTCTTCACGAGCAGGGGATGCCCAGGTGTTGTAAAAAATTAAGCAAGGCCTCCAATTATGAGAAGTCTAAGATTTTTCCAGTCCCTACTGCCTGCAGGTTTTCACCCCTGACGGAGAGAGCCGATTCACCCCAGAGAAAGCTGCACGTCCCCATCCAGCACAGCCCTTCCCAGCCCAAACCCACAGGGAAACCACGGTGCTGGCGCGGCCCAAAGGGCTCGACCTCACCTCCAGGCTCCTACTTTAAATAACCTGCAGGTGTAAAGGGGACCCGAGGGGGAAATCGGGGATAGCCACAATCCTTGAAGCCAGAGTGGAAGAAGCTGAGAGATGTATTTCATTTTTCAATATGGAAGTTACCTGACTATCAACAAGTTTATTAGCACGTCTGGCCCACAGGTACTTTGGGAGTGCTTCTGCTGCCGGCAAGATGGAAGTTTTAGTGAATGCTAAAACAAACAGGAAACAGAAACCTCTGACT